GAGCAATAGTCAGGCTGCAATTAAATATTAACTATAATTACTGGGTCGTAAACCACTTACATTAGTAAACGGATGCATTGAAAGTGATTTTTAAAAAAATTGAAATTTTCAGTTTAAAATGTTACGGTAAGCATTGTTCGGATTTTCAACAGCCCACTTAATTAAATCATTTTGATTGGAAGAAAAAGGAAGCTGTTTAAAAGATATTTTTTCAAGCAGATTGTTTTTAAATTTCAGATTCATTTTATTTTGCACAGAAAAAAACGACCCAGTTAAAAGGTATTTTGTTTGACGATTCAGTTGTTTAGCAACCAGGAGGCACTCGTCCATTACTTAGCATTCATTTAACACCGCAGAAAATCTTAATTCACAGAAGCTTTTCTAATGATATAAATTTTAAGCGAAGAATTAATCAGATCATAAAATTCACGAAACCCATCCCATTTTCTGATCCCATAAGTTGCTCTTTATTACACAATGTTCGCAAAACGTCACATTGTCTGCTTATTCTTACTAGCCAGAAAAATCACTTTGTTTCTCAAGATTAAGATTTATTTAGTTATCAAGAGCATAATTAAAAATTTTCTGCAAATTCCTTGTTATTCTGTTTCAATCTATGTATAATCCTTTAATAGTGTTTTGAAATGCTTTGCGCTTAAACACTTCGTTAAAGTTATGATCCTTTATGAAGTAATTTTATATTAATATACTAAACATTTTGTCCCGCAGTGGACTGATCGTNAATATTTATAAATACCAGTTTTACAATTTTTAAAGTCAATTACGATATTTAAGTTATAGAAAGTTATTTAAAACTTTCAAAACATGCTGTTAAAATAGTGAGACATTCTTGACTAGCAGCACTACTTAATACCAAATAATCTATCCGAAAATTTAATAGGAATTTGAAAAGTCTTGCATGTTGAGCTAAAAGACTGATTTAAGTTCTATCCCAAACAGAATCAGGAAGTAAATCAAAGGATACATTAAAAACCTTTGATCTTTTAATTTTAATAAATTGAAATTCTCCTGTTAATAACGGGTGTTTGGGAGACGAAGGCTGCAAATGGATGTTTTGCTATAAGTGCAAGACAAATCCGTACAAGGTTCTAAAACGTTACGTTTATTTAAGGTCACGTTTATTTAAAAAGCTTTAAAAAGTTGATAACACATTAAAAATATCGATTTTTTGATACACCATAGAGCCTATAGAAATGTAAAAGTTTTACGATAGAAGAATCAAAGTTTAATAAAATAAGGAATACGATAAGTATTTAATCTCTATGTATAAAGCTTCAAACAAAGCTCTTGTCGAGAAATACTTTTAGTCAAGCCTGAGATCTGATTCCACATTTGTAGGATAATTTGTATAAATTAGAGGGTTTTGACGTGTATGCATGTCGGACCAAATTATTGAAGTGCGCATGACTTAATCTGCCTTGCAAAAGAAAAACCGATGTAAATTAAAAAGAAATTCAAAATTTAGACTTATACATTTGGCATTTTTGTACGATAAGCTACTTATTGCAAATGATTCTCCTTGAAATTAAATTTAGTTTTATCAGTTCTTCAAATTCTAATTTAGGGTTCAAAGCATTAGCAATAGAAGATAGTTTTCAAGCGAATTTTATCGAAATCTACAAAAGATACTGCTTTTACATTCGAACCGTAGTCTTCTCGTTCAAAATTAAAAATTACTTTTAAACCATCAGAACTCTGTATTTCTAAAAATTTCATATATAGTAGATGAAACTGCTAGTATTGAGGATTGGGGGGCCCGCAATAAAAGTCGCGGCCCGAAACCAATTACATAAAAAAGCTGCGACTCTGAAGACTTGATTTGCTGAGAAATAGCGCAAATAATTAGCACGGCCAGTACCACCCCTGCTAATTGCTATCCTATTGTATCTTAATTGACTAGTTTCTAAACAACCTTTGCTAAACATTTAATTTTTTTAATTAAAAATTAGTTCATTTTCGTAATATATAGGACCAATAGTATATTTACGTATGCATTTATCCCGACTTATTTTAAGAAAGTCATTGCTTTAAATCTGATTCCTGTGGAAGATTTGTAAAATGAAGTGCCGCATTTAATGGCACGGCAAAAAGTTTGCGTGTAACCCCAAAAATGGCTTCAGTGACATCAAGTTCGGCGAGTTAGTACACCCGTTTTCAGCGTGGTTGAAAGATCTGGTGGTGTAGATAGAACTGCTAGTATTGAGGATTGGGGGCCGCAATAAAAGTCGTGGCCCGAAACAAATTACATAAAAAAGCCGTGACTCTGAAGACTTGATTTGCTGAGAAATAGCGCAAATAATTAGCACGGCCAGTACCACCCCTGCTAATTGCTATCCTATTGTATCTTATTTGACTAGTTTCTAAAAACCTTTGCTAAACATTTAATTTTTTTTAATTAAAAATTAGTTCGTTTTCGATATATATAGGACCAATAGTATATTTACGTATGCATTTATCCTGACTTATTTTAAGAAAGTCATTGCTTTAAATCTGATTCCTGTGGAAGATTTGTAAAATGAAATGCCGCATTTAATGGCACGGCAAAAAGTTTGCGTGTAACCCCAAAAATGGCTTTAGTGATATCAAGTTCGGCGAGTTAGTACACCAGTTTTCAGCGTGGTTGAAAGATCTGGTGGAAATTCAAGTTGAAAATCTAACAAACAGTAGAAACCCTTAATGATTTTATCTGAGAATTTCAAAGAAATACAGGTGAGAATATAGTTTTCAGAAAAACACTATCATAAAACAAAAGGTGGATACATTAAATATATCGTATTCTAACTTAAAATCCTAGATTGCGAACTAGAAAACAATGAATCTTCAAGTAATTTAAAATTCAGCGAGTCTGACAAAAGCAAGAATGAAACTTCGACATCAGCCAAAATTTAAAACTTGAAATGAAAAAAATTTAGCTTTTATTGAAGAGGTTTTAATTTCTTTTTTTATGTACTTAAAAATGCGGTTTAATAAATTGCTTTTTAAATGAGTTTTTCTTCCCAATTGTACTAAATCTCAGTTTTAATTCATTGGCAATTCTGTTTGTTTAGACCCAGACCACTGTTGTTCACTCCGATTAAATCATTTGTAGACAATTTCATTGAATCAAGAGTATGACAATACAGGATAGGAGTTTGTTGGGCGAACATAATACACAGAATAATTTTACATTTTAAATCATGTTATTTTCAATGACAAATCTGTAGAATCGATTTGAATAATAAAATTTCGGAAAAAAGTTCTTTAACGTTCCACTTCTGACTAACTATTTGAACACTGTTGCTTAAGTTTTATATGTTTTGGGCGTTACTTTGTCTTACAATTCTAAATTTTAGACTACAAAATGAAAAGTTTGTTTGGAACTATCTTCGGTAAAATAAGTTTCCTCAATGAGTGAGTCACGATATTTGAGTGGATCGACAGATGCATAAAAAAATTCAGACCAGAAACAAAATTTTTAAGTTCTTAAGTCTCAAAACAAAAAAACCACAAATCCTGATTTTATAACTAAAAATACTTTTTAGCAGCGAATATTAGTTTCTATATAAATTCATAGCAGTGTTGAAGAGAACCAACATGCAATCTATAGTTTTCATCCAAAGTGTATCGANAACAAGAATATTTAATGTATGGTGTGAATAACCGAGAGAGAATGGTGTCTAACATTATAAAAATTTCAGATTTATAGACATTTAGATTATTGGACCCTATAAATTCCTGAAAGCTATAGATTCGATATTATTGTGAAAAAGTTCCTTTATAAGATTGTTTATGTTTTAAACATCTAATTTAGAGAAATAGTACATCAGTTTTTACACTGTTTCTTTTAGTTCTCCACCAAAACAAATTGCGTTTTTGCGCAGAAATTCTTTAAGTTTAACGTTTACAAATGTTTAGTTTCGAAGAGTAAAAAATATTTAAATAAGCCGTGACTTTGAAGACTTTATTTGCTGAGAAATAGCGCAAATTAGCACGGCCAGTACCATCCCTGCTAATTGCTATCGTATTGTATCTTATTTGACTAGTTTCTAACAACCTTTGTTAAACATTTAATTTAAATTAAAAATTAGATAGTTCATTTTCGTAATATATAGGACCAATAGTATATTTACGTATGTATTTATCCTGACTTATTTTAAAAAGTCATTGCTTTGAATCTGATTCCTGTGGAAGATTTGTAAAATGAAATGCCGCATTTAATGGCACAGCAAAAAGTTTGCGTGTAACCCCAAAAATAGCAGCAACTGCTTAAGTGACATCAAGTTCGGCGAGTTAGTACACCAGTTTTCAGCGTGGTTAAAAGATTAGAATCTGGTGGAAATTGCAGTTAAAAATCTATCAAACAGTAGAAACCCTGAATCATTTTATCTGAGAATTTCAAAGAAATACTGGTGGGAATATAGTTTGCAGAAAAACGCTATCATGAAACAAAAAAGGATACATTAAAAATATCGTATTCTAACAAAATTCTAGACTGCGAACTAGAAAACAATGAATCTTCCAGTAATTTAAAATTTAGCAAGTCTGACAAAAGCAAGAATGAAACATAGACATCAGCCGAAATCTAAAACTTGATATGATAAAAAAAATTTAGCTTTTATTAAAAGTTTTAATTTGTTTTTTTGTGCACTTAAAAATGCGGTTTAATAAATTGCTTATTAACTGTTTCTTCCCAATTGTACTAAATCTTAGTTTTAATTCATTGGTAATTCTGTTAGTTTAGACCCAGACCACTGTTGTTCACTCAAATTAAATCATTTGTAGACAATGTTATTGAACCAAGAGTATGACAATACAGATAGGAGTTTGTTGGGCGAACATACACAGAATAATTTTACATTTTAAATCATGTTATTTTCAATGTTATTTACAAAGTTCTTTAACGTTTCACTTCTGACTAACTATTTGAACGCTGTTGCTTAAATTTTATATGTTTTAGGCGTTACTTTGTCTTATAATTCAAAATTTTAAACTAAAAAATAAAAAATTTGCTTGGAACAATCTTATATTAGTTTCTATATAAATTCATAGCAGGTGTTGAAGACAACCCAACATGCTACCTATAGTTTTAATCCAAAATGTATCGACGTTCGAAAAGAAGAATATTTAATGTATGGTGTGAATAACCGAGAGAGAATATGAGAGGATAAGAGAGAATATGAGAGATTATAATGGTGTCTACCATTATAAAAATTTCAGATTTATAGACATTTAGATTATTGGACCCTATAAATTCCTGAAAGCTATAGATTCGATATTATTGTGAAAAAGTTCCTTCATAAGATTGTTTATGCTTTAAACATCTAATTTAGAGAGATAGTACATCAGTTTTTACACTGTACGCTGATTTCTTTTAGTTCTCCACCAAAACAAATTGCGTTTTTGCGAAGAAATTCTTAAAGTTTAACGTTTACAAATGCTTAGTTTCGAAGAGTAAAAAATATTTAAAGATTAAAACAAATCTTCATTAATAGAAACACAAGAAAATAAAAATACTCACTTTTGCTTTCTTAGAGATTCCACAAACATCAGCAGTTTTATGGGCAGGAAAAAAGAAGAAATTCCATTCTTGATTACACAAATCCAGTCAGAAATCAGCACCTGAATGAAGCAACAAAGAGTAACGTTACTTTTAAAAGAAACTAGTCGCCAATATATATAATACATTGATTAAAAAATATATTGGAGAATCGTAAAGGAGAATAGCAGATGAACTTTGCATAAAATTTAGAAAAATTTAAGTAGATTGTAAATTCAATATGGATATATAATTTGTGGGCAGTAAATTTTATTCATAGCGGTCAGGAAACTAAAATAGATGCTGCTTTTTAAACCCACTGGAACCAGAAAGCAGGGAAGGCCGCGGTTAAGATGGACCGACTCGGAGTCTGATTTTCTTACAATTAACGAAAAGAATTGCAGATCAAAGATAGATCGGAAGTCATTATGGAGAAATCCTCAGAGGAACGCAATGGCTCACATTGGGCTGTCTGGCCAATTATGATGATCATTATGGTTAGGAAAAAAGAGGGAAATTTCTTCCAAGTCAAAGTTTTAATTTTTATTTGATTACACTAGCAAATTTGAAAGTGTCCAAAATTTCACAACAAGACACATTTTTTGGGGTTATATAATAACTATATACTTTGCTTATATCATCGAGAAAAACATAAAACGATGATAGCCGGAGAGCACAAATTNGATTTAAAAATTTGAATATGAATCAGAAGGCGGTCGGGATTTACAACAAACTATCGCTTAGCCATTATATCTGAGATAGTTATAACCAGGAAACTATTGAATAAACTCATAAGCAGTTCTGAAACTGTTCGTAGGGGGAGTTCCTGTTAAGGTAGGAGGAGTGTTCACAATACGTCCGGGTCACCAATGTGGAGAGTAAGTAGTTAACAACAGTGTCAAATGTCAGGTATGAAAAGGTACCACAACATAGAGTAAACATGTCTTGTATACTATTGAATTGGATTTATATTTTTAATGGTAGATACACTACAAGTTTCAATTGTAAGATTTCAAATAAGAAAGAAAATTACTAGAAACTAAATAATATGTGATCTCTAACAAAGATCTACTTTGTATTAATTACTATTTCAATTAGAAGTATTTAAACTATCGTTAGGGAAGATGGCACAGTCAGTAAGGTTTTCAAACATTTTGCATGTAAAATAAGGAATCAAAACTCTGCAACAAAAAGAACTGCATGAAAAAAAATGCAACATACGAGTTTAATAAGTCGAATTTTCAATAATAAGAACAGTTTTAGTTCACTACAAAAACTCTGGTGTAAATTCAGAGTTCGATCTAATAACAAGAATTCGAATGCATTTATTTAAATTATCTTTCAAATCAAAATGGCAAATTTTGGACGCTTATCATGTTTACCTTTACCCGAACAGCAAATTTTGGTTGAAAATTTTGAATCGAAACATTAGACATGAAGCAAGAAATTAGCAAATGAAACATTAGACAAAACTTTTGAAATGATACTTTATACACTTATTGTTTAA